AACTATAGTGAATTTTAATATATATTTAATACTATATTACTAATAATACTATTTCAATGTAAAAAAGTATATAAAATTAATTAATTCAATGCTTTTTACATTAAATATGTATTAGATTATATTTCCTGTTTTATATATATTTGTTCTAAAAATTAGTGTGCTTATAAAGAGGGTGTAACTATATGGAAAATGACTGTATAGAGAGCAGACTGTATATACAAAGGTCAAAATTTTGCTAAATACAATGACTTTTAATTATTAGATAAAGTTTAGAATAATGAAACATATATAGTATATTCTGAAATTTTATGCAATTCATGTGAACTTTTATTATTTGCCTTTTTATTTTATTTTAGATAAAAAAAATTAGTTTTTTGTTTAATATATAATGAAAAGACAAGTTAATAAAAAGTTATTTAAATTGCATATAAATTTCAGAATATATGTACTTTGTTATATTAAACAACTTTACTTAATGCTTGAAAGTTGATTTGCTTAGTAAAATATATATATATATATTTTAACTAATAAAAATTTTTTAAAAAGTGTGATAGTAATTATAAACTATTTGTAATTATATAAAAGTATTTTAAATATAAAAAATAGTATTAAAACTTTGTATAATTATATAAAAAATATGATTATAAACGAGATAACTGTAGAGAAAGAAACTATATTTATAAATAGTTAATAAAAAATTAATTTTTTTTAAAATTAATAGCAAAAATTCTATAGAATAGATAGGTAATATAAGAAATAAGCTTCACTAATAATTAATAATCATTAATTTTTTAATAGCAGAGTTGTTGAGTTTGCAAAGTTTGCTTATTTATTCTAAAAACCATTCTTAATAGCATTATATAATGTTATTTTGTTCTCATAAAAAATCTTATTAAATATAAGATTTAAGAAATTAGTATAATATTTTTATAAAAGTTGATACTAATATTTTTGTTGCATCATTATTCAAATTATTAAAACTATCAAAGTCTAGAAAAAATAGAAGAATCAATTAGAATAAATAAGGAATTGTGTTTTTGAGACTCAAATTTATATTAATAGTAAATAAACAAGACATTATATATTTTGTTAAGAAAAAAGTTTAGTTTCCTTAAAAAAAATTAATTAATACAAAATAATATAGCTAAAAAACATCCAGATTCAACAGCTCATAACTGGATATCTAATAAAAAAAAACAAACATTTTCTAAAAATTTATTTAGTAAACAACTTACGACGATTGTTTAAAAAAAGTGTTGTACCAAATTTTATTTAAACCAATAATGTTTTTACAATCGTTATAAAAGCGCTTGCTGTCATATCCAAACTACTATTACAGCTTAATTTTTCTTGATAATATATATTTTAATATAACGAATTCTGGGCATAGCGAACTCAAAATTTTAAAATTTCATAACTGTTCAGTATAAAAAATTCCATAGGCTCTTAAGAAAACCTGGTAATGTTCTATGACGAACTTTTTTTTCTTCCAGAACGGTTATTCCGTTATAGAAAGAGTTGACTGAAATTTATTCTGTTCGTTAAGCATAATATTATTTTATGGCAATCTATCATATTTCGCTAAATAAAATACTAGAATAATTTGCTAAAAAAATATCATGATAGCCGTTTAATATGGTTAAAAATATAAGTCACTGCTTGAAAACTACATTTTACTATAATCGAAGTAAATCGAAGTAAAGTGCAATAAATCGCAGTAAACCTCATACTTTTTGTGATTTGCTTCGATCACAACAAATCACAAAACCCACATGTCCCTAGTGGTAACGCTAGATTTGCTTTTATTTATCTACAGTAATTCAATATCAATATACTTTGCATAATATTAAATTTTATCTCGTTTCAACAAGGTTAAGCCTATATGCACTTTTAGAATGATCAATAGAATGGCTATGGTTCAATTCTACCTAAAAAAAATTAATTTTATAGAGTAATAAGAGTTCTACTGTCAGTTTCAAAGAAAAAAAAACAAGGTGCATAAAAATTTTAGGACCTTGAACACAAACTTACAGAATATCAATATAAAGTATGAGAACATTTTAGCTTACTTCTTATTTCCAACTTGGATTAACACAGAATATGTAACGATGATTGATTGTAATTCGCTTAAAATATAACAATCAATTGGTTCAAAACTGGTTTACCGATAGTCAAATCTTACACCATTTTCTGCATTTGATCTTACGTTTGTACATACGTACGTACGTACATATCCGTACGTACGTAGCAAAAATTCCTAATTTCAGTAAGATTATAATGTCTCGGCATAAATAAATTATATGTGTTGTATACTCGCGTACAGTATATGCACTGTAAATGCTGTGTTGCATGTGCATAAATTAGTATTAATTGCACAAAACACATGAATAAACAAATTCAAAATTTTCATTTGGTTATACCGATACTGTTACCATAAAAGTAATTTTGTAATTTAATTTATAATTTTTACAACACAAAAAAATTCAAATAAAAAAATATCTATCGGGCATATTATGTGTTTTTGTTAACAGTTGCACCTATATACATTATTTATTTGATTTCTTTTTCGAGAATGAATTTTGATAACAGTTGAACAGTTATTAGCATGAGACCTTTTCACATTCAATTGTTAAGCAATGTTATGCTAATAACATTAGTTCTTAATCTGTTTATCACTCTGGCGACCGCATTTGCACCTACAAGTCGTTATTTTCAAAGCAGCGTCGTTATTGGTGATAAAATATACTTCTTAGGTGGTATTGGTGTTTCTGGCAGAGGCTCTAATGAAATATTCTATTTAGATGTTTCTTCACCATTTAACATCGCAAATCTTAAATGGACTGATCTCACAATTATTGCCCCTATTCCCGTCGCTAGTGCTTTCTCACCTTCTTGCTCTGGTGGAAACAAAAATTCTACTATTTTTTTATTTGAACACCGCAGCACAAATACTGTTAATTCGACTTCTTTAGTGACATTTACCTTTGATACAACGACTCAAAAATGGTCTAATGCAATAACAACAGGTACTGCACCACCAACCAGACAGGAAATGAAAGCTGTTGTTGATAAGAATGGCAGAATATATATTTCTGGTGGATTTGATCCATATACAACCCTGAGATCTTCTAATAATACTTATGTACTGGATTCTTTGAGTTTATCTTGGCTCAGTAGTTATCCTAGTGCTCCGATTATACGATCCGATTATGCTGCTATACTTTTACCAAGTGGGCTTATAGTATATATAGGAGGAACAAATGATGACACAACAGCTACAGAAATTGATATGACAAAAGTATTTAAATTTTTAATGATTGTTTTAAATCTCCCGTTATTTTTTTTTTTATGGTTTTTATGTTTCTTATTAGATCTCAATTTATAATACGATTTCTGGAACTTGGTCTTCGGTGGTAGGTAAATGAGCTTTTCGATACGAAAGTTTAGGAATTACATTTTGTCATGAATCAATGTATTCAAATTTGCCATATACTAGATTTATCATATGATCATTGTAAATTTTTATGTGCATTAATAGTAGCATAATTTATTTTTTTTCCAACTCATTGGAGATTCAATGGAAATGGTTTGTCTAAACAATAGTCATAATATTTGAATAAAGTATATGGCAAGCAGAACGATATTATAAAATTTGTATGATAGGCAAGTACTGTCACGATTTGCACGAAATTGGAAAAGATGGAAACTTTGATTTATTGATTTAGTAGAAATATTTTATTGATTTAGTAGAAATATTTTATTTCATTGATTAAAGGCAATCTTCGAGATATTTCTTAATATATTGCATTATTTATTAATCTATTGCATTTTTTAATGTATGGACCATTTAGATCGCAACTGGCGACATAATTACGGCCCGTCAATCTCATACTGCGGTGCTAGGTATGTAGTAAATTATAGTTGAAGCATTTATCGTTTGATTCATAGTCTACATACATTGATTCATAGTCTACATACATTGATTCATAGTCTACATACATTGATTCATAATCTACATACATGGTTATTTTTTTTCAGGCAGTGACGGTTCTATTATTATTTATGGAGGTGGTGCTAAAAATCTTACTATTGCTGCAACTCCACCTTTGGCTACATTGGACACAAGCGTTACACCTTACAAGTGGTCGACCAAACAAATTATAGGCGCATATGCTCCACCACCTCTTGCCTGTCATTCAGCCGAGATGGTTGGAAAATATATGATTATAGCATTTGGTGATTATATTAATTAATTGAAATGTTATTTCTAATCATTTGTTACCAACTTTATTAAGTTTTTCATTTTTAGGTGCCGGCTTTTCAAGTACAAAGTTTGATTTAGTGACTGCTCCTAATAATAATATTTACATATTGGACACTTCAACTTATACCTGGGTTTCATCATTTGATTTAACTGCGAATACTAATAATTCAATTCCATCAAAACCGACAGATACAAGTCCAACTGGAAATACTTCAACTAATAATAATATCAACAACAACAACAACAACAATAACAATAATAATAATAATAGTCCTCTAATGGTTCCATTAGTTGCTGGTATTGGTGGCGCACTTGTTCTTGGCATTGCTGCAGCAAGCATCGTAGGCTTTATTTTTTATAGGAAGTATCGTAAATATCGTCCTGATGATGATCCTTATATTGCTACTCCGGGTACGGGTAATCGCGAATATCGCGAACATGCTACTTCAGGTACAAATATTCACGAATCTAGATACGGTGCTTCAACCCCTTCCACAATTACGAATCAATACGTTGCTCCTTCTTTCGTCTCAAATATGAGTTCTACGCAATATCCTGATGCCCCGAATTTTACGTATCAATCTGGTGCTCCTGATGCTGCTTTCATTCATCCCGGCACGCCCACCCCAGGTAGTATGCATAACCAAAATGTTTTTGCTCAAGGTCCTCAAGGCAGTTCTATCCATGTCGTTTATACCCATGGCCATGTTGCCCAAAATGTTACTGATGGTATTCCCACACCGGGTACACGTTCCATATATAGTAATTTTACAAATAACTCATAATCTTTTTCTGTCTATACTTTATGGAAAAACATTCAATGGTTGTGGTTAGGAGAGAAAAATAAAAACTTTTAATCCTTTACTAAACTTTCAAAAAATCTGGTTTCTGATTCAAATTATGCATCTAAAAGTTGAATCTAATGTTTGGATGTCAAAACGTCGGTTTAAAATGTAGTAGAAACTTTAAATAAAAGGCCATATTTTTGTTAAATACATTTATTTTTGTAAATTCTAATATAATATTAGCATCAAGAAGATACCCATTTTTACATTTAATTGAGATTAATAAATTTATGTTGTAACAAATAAAATTTTGTATAATTCATCGTGTTAAAAATTTTTTTCTCTTTTTGATAAACATGAAATAAATGTATAAAGATGAAAAAAAATCCTATATATCTGAAAAATACTGAAAAATACTGAAAAATACTGAAAAATACTGAAATAGCTATATCTGAAATAACCTTAAGCAACAGTCAAGTTTATTCATTTATTCACCGTTCTTATTTATACTTCTATACTATTTTTTCTCGTTTAGAGTCAAAATTTCAGTTTCGGACTGATTCGGAATTTTTATATTTCTTTTTGATAATATATCTTTTTTAACGTTTTACCGAATTTTTAAACTATTCGAATTGCTAATGAAAGTATCAATTGTTGCTCGAAGAATAATTTTTTAAAAAAATGAAAGAAAATGAAAGGTCTTGTGATTGTAGTAGCCAAACTTTTAAAATTCGTAATTTTAATTTGAAAAAATAGTATAGAAGGATAGTAAGAAACTGGGAATAAATCAGTCATTAATCACGTAAGCGGATAATAATGAGAAATTAAACGCGGATACTGTAATGACAGAATAGTTTATTGATAGGGTAAGTGGCACGGAGGTCACAGGCATACCACTGATATGTTATCCGTAATACATAGATTACGAGAAGGGTCAATAGCAAAGTTCTGAAATATTTTGAAGGTTGTAGTGCATGATAACTGACCAATCTAAATTGAGTATGCCTATCACGTGGTATAATGGCATGCCAGAACTAGTGATTGTACTCGTCCTAAAAAGTACAACACGGGTTACCCGAGTAGACCGCAGGCCTACTCGGGTACAATGATTACCCGTCAAACCCGGGTCAGAATAAAAACAAATTATTAAAGTTTTAAATATCATATTATATACAAGATCCTCTTTGATATAAATACCGTGAACTAGACCCACATGCGAACAAATCACAGGATCTTTGTATATGCATCTTAAAGTTTGCTTTGTTACAATATAAGTGCTCAATTGTACACTATATGCGGATCTAATAACGATTTAAAATAGGGAGAATATTCATCCTACATTGAAGTAGCATAGTAGGTTTCATTCCAATTAGCTAATAGACTTATACTAAAACAAATCTAAAGCAAAATATTTCACAAAATATAACGGCATTAATTGAATAAAAGATATATTTATTTAAATTTTAATAATTACAATAATTTACTACTTTGGTTTAAGAGTTATTATTATATAATATCTAAATTTTAAAATTTAATAGACTATTAAATACGTTTATAAAGAGCTTATACCAAAACTTAATTGTTAACAATAAATAATATCAAAAATAGTAATTATATATTTTTTTTTGTTTGTAAATGTCATAATTGAAACTTTATTTAAAAAAAGTAGAGAGTGATCTACATTTAAAGATTTCAAACTACACTTGTGCTACTAAAAAGGCACCCAATGTGATATTATACCCCTAATTTTCTATATAATGCTATTGTTAATTATTTCAAAACAATTATATATCTAGGCTAGGTTAGAGAAAACCTAAGGTATATATCATGGCATTAGAAAATACAGTTAGTTAAAGAAAAACCTTATATAAACTATTTTTTTATAAAAAAAAAAAAATTTGTTTGAGGTAAATTACATAATGACTAGTTGCTAAAGAAGGAGTATTTGGTAAGATGTATTTGTTTTATTTAGTTTTAATTGTAATATTTCTGGCTTGTTTCTATTGATGTTGTGAGATATTACATATAGTTCATATTTCATCATAAAATCAATTAAGTAAATTATTAAATAGAAGAATAAGAAATTGTTTAGTTTGTTTAGCAATGTGTGATTTAATATTTTCATAAACAGTTAAGAGGTAAATGCCTGGGATGTAGTATAAAAATAGGTTGCAGAGAGGGTTAGAAAAGTTAAGTATAAGATGAAGAAGGATATTAAAAATAGTAATTGGAGATGTATTTGTGATTTTAAAAGAAGCAAATGAATTGATAATTATATTGATTAGAGATTGTTGAATATTGATGTTATTATTAGAACAGAAAAGTAAGTGTAATATATCTTTCAGATTGAAACAATGAGTACAGTTTGGTATAGGGTATAGGTAAGGGTATCGAATATTTAAATTTTCCATAGTTGGAAGACTGTTAGTTAGAATTTTGATTCTTAGAGAGTATTTAAATAGGTTATTGTTAAAAAAATTTAAAGCATTGAAACATAAAGTCCATTGGATATTAGATATATCTTTGAATATTTTGAGTGAAGACTATGAATATAGTTCTTGTATTGTATAAATGTTTTAAATAAAAGTTCAGATTTTAAAAGAAATTAAGTAGTTTTCTTATTGGAAGTAAATTGGTAAATTTATATGATTATAAAAGATTCTAAATATAAATTTGTTTGCTCCTTGTTTGCAAGCAGGTCTGTCTGATTATATAGGAAGTTAGAGTATAATTTAACTTTATAAAAAATGAAGATAAGATTTTTGATAGATTTAATTTGATTAATAGTAAATAGAATATCTCAGTTTTGGTTTTATAAAGGTTTAATATAATACATTTGTTTTAAGTTTTTAATTGCTGTCTTATTATCCAGATGAATATAAATATAAATATTATTAAAAATTGCAATACGTAAGAAAAAAAATGACTGCTTCAAACTCAGTATGTGTTGTATCTAGATAAGGAGTAGTAGCTGTATTAAATTTGATAGATATATTATTAACACAGATCTAGTAATACAGACTTTATATTTGGTAATTGAAGTTTTGAATTGAGGCATCAGTATAAAAATGAAGCTTTTGAGAACCAAGATTTTAAATAAGAGAGTAAAGATTAGCAAGCTGATTTTGATATGTAGTTGAGTTAATTATGTTGTATATTAATTCTATATCTTGTATAAAAATATTAATTTGTGGTGTTAGTTAAGAAGGTTTGTAGTATTTATAAAATCATATATATCATTTAGTGCAAGAATCTTCTAGTAGTCTATTTGAATATGAAGATGATTGTTTAATTTAGTTAGCTTGTAAGGAAGGTTGAAAGAAGAAAGAATGTGTGAAAATGGTAAGGTTGATAATAAGAGTTGCATAAAACCTGTATTAGTTGAAGTTAATTTATATATTTCAGTTAGAGATAACAATTTGGTAAGAAAAAGTTTATTATTATTAGTAGTATATAATTGTATAAAAGGAGAGAAGTTTGATTATAGTGAAGAAAAAAGAAAATCAGTTGAGTTGATAAAGGAGTTAATTGTAGGTAGATTTAAATGAGGCCAGATAGTTGAAAAAGTATTATTTTGTATTAATTGATTAATATTATTAAATCAAAAAGGTTGATAACCCTAGTAGGTTTGTTAGTACATTAATAGATATTATTTCAAGATAAGATAAATTTGTTATTTGATATTGTGATTTGTTCAATAAAAAGTAAATAATGGTTTCTTAAACTATTGATTATAGAGATATATGGATTTGAAGAAAGTATACCATAAATTAGAGGTGTGTTTTGAAGGAAGTTTGGGTAATTAGAGTTTGAAAGTAGATTAAACAGAGTAATATTGTTTTTAGCTAATTGAGAAAGTTGAAATATAAGTGTGAAGTTTTTAAATTTATAAATATAAGTATTTAGTAGATTTGACATTAAGTTGAGAGACCAAATTTTGGTTAATCATGATTTAATAGGGTAAGACCAATACCTTTAAGAATTGAGTTGAAGTTAAAAGTATATTCAATATTTGCAGCACTAGCTTTTTGAACTAAATTATTATAGTCTTAGATATTACCAAATTTGGATGTTGCAGATCACCACCTTTTTTGTATGATTAGAAAATTTTTAAGGCTTTCATTTAAGTCTATGACTAATCTATGAAAATCTATGAGACTAAATTTACACCAATCACCATTCATTTTCTTATTTGGTAAAAACTGCTTTTTAAAGCTCTTGGGATTATTAGAATCCCTAGACTACATAACCATAAGACAATGTTTATTAAAATTAATTTGAAAATTTATTATTAAATGATTGTTTTATAAAAAAAATAAAAATACTATATAAATCAATTCTAGAAATTTGTTTACTAATAGTAGATCAATTTCTATACTTGGTAATATCTGAGACTGTATTAAGAGTTGGTAGATTAAAAGTTATAAGATTAGTAAAAACAATATTATTTGCACTTTTAGCAAGTGAAAGCATTTTCTTTATCTGAATAGTAAAAAGTTGAGATAGTTCAGTTTGGATGTTTTTATGAATAATAGATACTTGTAAAAGATATTTAATAAAAGTCTGAAGTACAAGATTAAAGAGTGAAAAATCTGAGAAGATGTGAGTTTTTTATATCTAATTAGACTCACATTGGCAGATGAAACTATTTTTGGCAAATAGTAAAAGATGAAACTAAACTGGCAAAAACAAAACTTGCCAAAACTCTAGCAAAATGGTAAAATTCTAGCAAAATAATAAAACTCTGGAGAAACTGCGAAACTCTAGTAAAACTCTGGCAAAACCTCTGGTAAATTAAAATCTAAGAAGTCAAAATTTGGTAAAAATCAAATCCTCTAAGACTTTAGAAAAGAATGAACCATGTTAGTAAATCAAATATTTTGTATACACAGCATACAACTTATTTAAAAATGTATAAAAGCAATAAACAAAGTGATAACTTTTTGTTTATATTCTATACTATTAAAGAAAATTAGATTTCTGGCTTTTGGAACTTTTAA